AGCTCCCAACTAGAACCTCATACTTGTTAGTAATGCAAAGGATCACGTTGCATGGCCTCATTTGGTGTTTGTAGAAAAAGTTAATGGGTATCCTCGAGCACTGTCGGATAGAACACTTATATAATATTTGGTTTTCACAATGCTAGTTATATTTATACCTTACACATAAAAAACGAATAAAATGGTTCCGAAGAAGAACCATATACGGCATTTCCAACTAAAGAATTCTTTTTGTTGTATATGCAAGTAGACAAGTAGGCTAGAATGTTTTTAACGGTAGATTGGTAAAGGGTTCGGGTATTTATTTAACTTCTCGCTCATAATGTTGTGTTAATAACATTAATAATATTGTTACACATATCTTTAACAGCAACTTAAATGCCAACATCGCAAAGGAGTGTCGTACGCCCAGTGAATTAGATCAATCGTCACTGTGGTTCAACGGCCCAGAATTTCTAGTTAAAAACAAATTGGACTGGCCTCCTTCTTGCTTGTCAGAAAAGACAGAACTCGAACTTAAAAAAAGGGTCCTTATTGCGTCATCTCCCTTCGTTGATATAACTGTCACTTGTAAATACGTCAACTCATTTGATACAATGCAGCGTATATTCGGATATATTTATAAATTCATACACAGACTAACAGTGTCTGATATACAACATGGGACCCAACTCTTACTAAGGCTCGTCCAGAGAGCACACCTGTGGGAAGAGATCAAATCATTGCAATCGAGAAGAGTTGTTAAACCGTCCAGTTGTATCAAATCACTTAACCCTTTTTTGGATGATTTCGGAATTCTGAGAGTTGATGGGCGCTTGAAAAACTCTTCGCTGGATTTCGACGCTCGCCATCCAATAATTCTCCCGTGCCTCCACCGCACCACAAACTCAGTCATCACACGGTTTCACAATCGGGACTTACACGCTGGTCCACGGGCACTTCTTGCTCATATTCGGTTGCAGTATTGGCCGATTGGTGGAAGGAAGACCGTATTCAAGGTGGTTGGAAAATGTGTGAGATGCTTTCGTGCCAAGCATCGATTAATAGAGCATATAATGGGTGATCCGCCCAAAGAACGTTTGACTGCTTGTCGAGCCTTTGAAGTCTCTGGTGTTGACGATTGTGGATCATTTTGCTATAATCCAGACGTACGAAATAAAGCGCCAGTCAAATGTTACATGGCTGTCTTCGTCTGCTTCGCGACTAAAGCGGTTCACCTGGAACTGGTCAAGGATCTGTCGACAGCTTCTTTCTTGAATGCGCTTAAGAGGTTTATATCGACTCGGGGCAGGCCATCTCAGATATGGTCGGATAATGCTACCAACTTTGTCGGCGCCAAAAATGAGCTTCTGGATCTCAAGCGTCTATTCATAAGTCGTAAGCATATTGAGTCAGTGCATAATTTTTGCATGGCTGATTCTATTGATTGGAAATTTATACCTCCTCGTTCACCGCATTTTGGCGGCCTTTGGGAAGCAGCAGTGAAGACAGCGAAACATCATTTTTATCGTGCTGTTGGATCTTGTGTTCTCAACTTCGAAGAGTTTCGCACCCTAGTCTGCCACATAGCATCGATAATTAATTCCAGGCCATTGTTTCCTCTTTCAGAAGATCCAGCAGATTTAGATGTGCTCACTCCAGCTCATTTCTTGATTGGTGGCGCACCTTCAATTCAATCGTCTGGATGTTTGGCAACGCGTAACGTACCTCCAATAACTGTTTTGGTTTTGGTCTCGCTGGCGTGAAGAATACTTAACACTGCTTCAGCAGCGCTCCATATGGCGTACTCTGAAACCAGGCCTATGCGTCAACGACATAGTCGTCGTAAAGGATGAAAATCTGCCGCCTCTTAGGTGGCCACTGGCGAGAATCACAGAGTTAATCGTGGGAAAGGATGGAGTCGCTCGAGTAGCCATTTTGCGCACCGCAACAGGAGAAACGAGAAGAGCTGCAAACAAGCTATGCCTATTGCCCATCAGGGAATCTGTTGAAAGCCCATGCCTTCCAACGGGGGGAGAATGTCTGGTTACGCAGCCAAAACAACTGGAGCGACCTCGTAACTGATAAGAGCAGCATCTTAATTTTATCTTATAATACTCGCTCTGCAAAGCAAGTGCCTAAATTTCGCTCTTAAGAATTCATTTACATAGAGCTGCCGCTCGCTGTAACGATCGTTTTATTGCCCTAGCTTTACTTATGCGAAGGCCTCGATACTGCGCATTGAGTTAGTTGTCAGTTCGCTTCGTGCATTTGGTACGCATCGGCCACTTGCATTACTCAAAATTATAACTAATAATTGTCTTTTCGCTAAAATTGGCACGTACTAATTCGGGTTCGCTTGCCTATATATAAACTATTGTTCTTAAATAATAAGCACAGAACTTTAAGAAATATAAAACAATTTTGAACACAAAAAATAAATAGTTAATTATTTCTATTTGTGAAAGCTGTTGAAAAAGCTCAATAGCGCAACAGTATCTTTAAAAACAACAAATTTGCACTTTTATTTCCTTAATTTATTTTGTATTACTTAAAAACAATAATAATTTAATTAATAATTTCAAATATAAAAAATTACATTAATATTTGCATCGACCTAAAAATACAAATTTTATTGTACGGAGCCAACCTCAGTACACAAAATGCATTCATATATCAACAGAAATTTTGGGTAGGTGATCTGCGCTAAAAAACTAAAAAATTTTTTTTTTGCCAGAGCAGTGGATAACAAAACATTCAAATATGCTGTTATGTATGTATATTCCCACGCATACAAACATGTTTGCTTGCACGGCCCTCATAGAGCCGAAGCTGAGAGCAAATTCTATTTTTAGCTTTTTCGTTCTCTCGGCTGTGAAAGCGCAATGCTACAGATTTCCTTTTCGTTCCCAATTTTCAAAAATAAAGCTGCATAGTAGCATTTTGTTGTATGGCGTTACTCATCTTAGTGTTTATATTGTCTTTGCCAAAACCATCAATATATAAATGTTTTATTTAGGCCATTTAAGTTTTTAGTAAATAAAATAGATCAGATTCTTTTTATTATGCCTTACTGGACGAAGAAATACATGATAGAGGAGTTGAATTTGTATATGCTACCACAGGCACAAAGGGTACACAATTGAAGAAAAAAACTCTGGCTCGTGACAAACGCCGTGATCTACTTGTGCGCACCTTCACAGAGCGAGGCACACTCTGCACATGCATAAACACATATGTATGTATTTGGGCTGTAAAAACTGATATACATATATTAAGAAAAGGCATTAACAGAGCGACATTGTACGCTGAGCGAGATGCGGCATCTACTGAACGTTTGGTTTTCGAGGCCGGCGTTGGGCTCCCAGTCTCAGCAGTCCTATTCTATCTGGGCGTTGCGATTGACTGCTTGGTATATCTATGCATTGTGTGGTTAGTGGCATTATACTGTAAATTACGTAATAGGGGGCCTTAACCATCCTGCGTAGCGTTTTACTTTGAATTATTCAAAGGAATTCAAAATTTGAATTTTTTCGCTATTAAAAATAGTCTTAGTAAATAGTAGCCAACATATATACAACATAGACACCAGATATAAAAAGGATCCCATTATGGAAGAAAAACAGACAGATTCTGTAGAACAGGCAGATTCTAACCATTATATAATAGCAAATAGAAATTCAAAACACAGTTTAAGAAACGAAAGATATTCAACCCACTCTCAAGCCACAGGTCTCTGGAGTACAATAATGAGGTTGCTTCTATTAATTACCACATACCCAACAATATTCCAAAAATTAATTTGACAGTAGAATACTGGAATAAACCGACACCAAGAAAATAGACAGAAAAGAGGACTGTTGAACATAATAGGTTCAGTAAACAAATATCTCTTTAGATCAGTTTGATCGAGTGGAAATTTAGAAAAACGTTGAGACAGTTGCACAAAATTCGATTAGATTTGTGAGCTAAATGACGTAATGCAAAAAAAAAATTAAATACAGATAAGAAAAATAATAGTATTAAAGCACTAACATACAATCCCATTACATTGAAAATAAAGGGAATAACAAGCAAGAGGAAGAAGGAAGCATATCCGACCGCATAAAGTATATATATATTCTTGATCAGCATCAATAGCCGAGTCGATCTAGCCATGTCCGTCTGTCTGTCTGTCCGTCCGTCCGTCTGTCCGCATGTATGAACGCAAGGATCTCAGAACCTATAAGAACTACAGACTTGAAATTTTAGATGTAGTCGATAACTTACTCCGTTTAAGAGCAACCGATAAAAATCGATATCGACATCCTGTTTTTTAATCAATTTTGGTAAGTATTAAGAGTCACCAAACTTGATTTGTTGCTTCTATCGCCACCTCCCCGTTAACACCATACAGCTACAAGTCAAGTTAATAACACAACTTTTATTGCCAACCAATTTAAGCCACAATTTAAAAGCAATTGACTTTGTGAGAATACACAAAAATGCTTTGCTACAAAAAGATATACAGCAGAAAATTTCATTAGGATCAGTTAAGAAAAAACCAAAGATATATGTAACAGCGCAATTGGATGGGCAGCTAGCGATAACATCAATGCAACAACTGCATTTGGTGTTGTAATCAGAGGGTTCAGGGTATTCCCTAGTCAGGAGCTCCCAACTAGAACCTCATACTTGTTAGTAATGCAAAGGATCACGTTGCATGGCCTCATTTGGTGTTTGTAGAAAAAGTTAATGGGTATCCTCGAGCACTGTCGGATAGAACACTTATATAATATTTGGTTTTCACAATGCTAGTTATATTTATACCTTACACATAAAAAACGAATAAAATGGTTCCGAAGAAGAACCATATACGGCATTTCCAACTAAAGAATTCTTTTTGTTGTATATGCAAGTAGACAAGTAGGCTAGAATGTTTTTAACGGTAGATTGGTAAAGGGTTCGGGTATTTATTTAACTTCTCGCTCATAATGTTGTGTTAATAACATTAATAATATTGTTACACATATCTTTAACAGCAACTTAAATGCCAACATCGCAAAGGAGTGTCGTAAGCGCATGACTACTTTTCAAGTTATGACGGTTTTGCTGTCTTGTCTAATACTTATGTACTGCGTACTGCCATTGGTGGAGCTATTTTGGATTGTTGGGATCGACGCATCAATAAAGCCATTTCCTTACAAAATGCACTTTCCATACGATCCGAACAAAAATTGGATTCGTTATATATTAACATATCTATTTACAGCTTATGCTGGCATTTGTGTGGTTACAACTTTATTTGCTGAAGATTCATTATTAGGATTCTTTATAACACACATGTGTGGCCAATTTTGCTTACTGCATGAGCGCATCGATGCTTTAAGGAATTTGACCAATAAACAAACATCTTTCGGAAAAAACATGGATGACCAGATTAAACAAATGCGAAGTCTTAAACAAGCTTCGGAGCATCACAACAAGCTTATTTGGTAAGCATTTAAATTTAAACATTCTAACACCCCTACCGCTATAAGTTCTAATCCATTAAAACATGCAAAGCAAAAACAATTTATGATAGGTTCTATATATTTATATGTGATTACGAGGCTTATTTGAAATGGTACTTGAACTTATGACTTAGTTCGTTATTTTAAGCAAAGGAAAGGAGAAAAGAACTATTTATAACATGAACCCATTGAAAATGGGTAAAAAGAGTATTATGTATTCGTGCAAATGTAGGTAAGAGGCAGAAGGAAGCATATCCGACCCCATAAAGTTTATACATATATTCTTGATCAGCATCAATAGTCGAGTCGATCTAGCCATGTCCGTCTGTCTGCCCGTCATCAATTGCGCAGTTGCATATAACTTTTTATTTTCTTAACGATTGTATTTGTGCGAAATCGAAATGTTTGTAACAGGCAGAAGGAGGCATCTCCGACCCCATAAAGTATATATATTCTTGATCAGCACCAACAGCCGAGTCGATCTAGCCATGTCCGTCTGTCTGTCTGTCTGTCCGTCCGTCCGTCCGTCTGACCGTATGTATGAACGCAAGGATCTCAGAACCTTTAAGAGCTAGAGACTTGAAATATTAGATGTAGGTGCTCCTAGTGCCTGCGCAGATCGAGTTTGCTTCCGATAATCGATAAGTTATTCCGTTTCGAAGCAATCGACAAAATTCGACATTGATATTTTGCTTTTTGGGCAATTTTGGTAAATAATACGAGCTAGAGTCACCAAACTAAACATATAGCTTCTAAAATAGAATATATATATTTATTTGAGGTTGGAAGAAGAGGGTTCAGGGTATACCTTTGTCGGAAGTTCCCGACTAGAACCTCTTACTTCTTCATATTTGTGGGTGGTGTGGCTGTTGAGCAGAGAGGGCGGCAAGTAGTGCGGTTAGTTGCCAGTTCGAACCCTGCCAAGGGAACTTATTGTATTTATTGTTTTCTTAAATTTATCTTTTTTACTACTTAGGCAAAATAGCATGTAGCGCGAGCTGAATTTGGTGTTGGTTTTAGGAGGGTTTAGGTTATCCCCTAGTTGGGAGCTCACTAGATCCTCCTACTTTATTTTATAAATGTGGCTTACTAAAGTAATAAGCGGAAAGTGACGCAAGCGGAAGAGGCACGCTCAAAGTCGTCACTACAAGGAATTTAAATGCCTCCATCAACGCGTTAAAAAATGTAAACGAAAGCTTATGTTAAATATGTAATATTAAGTAAAATCTGCCAAAACTTAATAACTTTTTTCTGTTTAATATATTGAATCAAAAATAGCATACATTTTTATTACAACATAGTCGGCTTAGGTGACATTTCGCCAAGCCTGGTTGGGTCCTCAGTCCTTATCAAAAACTTAATAATTATCACAATAATTCAGTTGGCAGCTAAACGATCGAGCATTCGCAACGGTCAGGTTGAAATAGCCAGGAATTGCTGGGCTGCTGGATACGAGAGTATCGGTCAGATTCCTGGGAGAAGGTTGCCTGCAATTGACAAAAGATTTTGGATAATAAATACACAGTGTTCAATCGACAGTTCAATCAGCAGCATGCAACATCACACTTTGGTTCGATTTTATGCAACAACATCGTAGAACTATCAGACTCACCAATTCGCGCAGTACATATGTCCATCTCTCAAACAGTTACTATACATTGAAGTAGATTAATGAAGAGAATTCGGTCTGATTTCGGAAATCTTAGAAGTCGATAACCTCGGATATATTGAATCAATATTGGCCCATTAGCTAAATGGCGACAACATCAACTGCAATGGGCAAAAATAATTTCCTATTTAACGAAGAATTGAGTATTGGGACATACAAACATGGAAATGCACACCATTCAGCTAGTGGAAGACGCAATGCCAATTAAAGATGTTATGCTTCTACCGTGTCCTCAGCAGTGCAGCAACTATTGTTTTGCAGAAGTGGCCGTAATGCTCAGACTGGGAGTCAGCCCTGCCCAACCGACTGAAGGCCGTGTAACGTATGACTCGAGTCGACATGAGCCGCGATTACAAACTGCACTACTACTTGCCTAATAGTTTAGAATAGAAGACTTTTTACGAGGAATAGAAGATTTGAGCAGAATACTCAGTAATGGTTTTGGTAATTACACAAAACATAGTTTTACGATTAATTGAAGAAGGAAGATTAATCATCAGAAGTCTATTTAAGTATCCTAGACCACGAAGGGCAAATAACAAGAATTGTTTCTGTACAGGTTCAATTTTGTCTTGATGCATGGAAAATTGTGGTGAACAGATACATGAGACATACTCTAGTATACGTCGTACCAAAGGGTCTTTGTCGTGTGCGGATCATCAAACTGCTTTGACCATCACTTCATGAAACCCAAAACAGTTTTCGCCTTATTGAGCACGGTCTTAACATAAAAGTCTCACGTAATGGGCTACAAATTTCATCAAAGTCTAGTTCTTATAGGCTGCTATGAGCAATATTAAATGAGGCCTGAAGCCGTTCGATTTGCTTTAGCCTAACACTGAGTGCATCAGTTGCACTAAGAACCGAATGAGTTAGATCATTTTAAAAAATTTGCAAACATTCATAAATTGAAACGCCTTTGCGCTTCAGAAAAGTCACCAAGCTTACAGAGGCCACTGCACTAGAGGCGCTATTTGCTGTTTTCATAACAAGCGTTGACCGAAAGTGTGTACAAAACAAGCTGCGTGATAAAAGATAAAATGCAAAATGTTTCAATAGATTTTACAAATAGAAATAATAAAACTCTTTTTATTTGTTGTGTTTCAATATGTTTGTGTATTTGTATTTTTATACCCTGAACCCATTGAAAATGGGTAAAAAGTGTATACTGCATTTGTGCAAAATGCAAATGTATGTAACAGGCAAAAGGAAACCTCTCCGACCCCATAAAGTATATATATTCTTGATCAACACCAATAGCCGAGGCGATCTAGCCATGTCCGTCTGTCTGTCTGTCCGTCTGTCCGTCCGTCCGTCTTTTCGTATGTATGAACGCAAGGATCTCAGAACCTATAAGAGCTAGAGACTTGATTTTTGAAATTTAGATGTATGTGCTCCTAGTGCCTCCGCAGATCGAGTTTGTTTCCGATAATCGACAACTTACTCCGTTTTCAAGCAATCGATAAAAATTGCTATCGATATCCTGTTTTTTGGGCAATTTTGGAATATAATAAGAGCTAAGGTCACCAAGCTTGGCATATAGCTTCTAAAATAAAATATATATAAGCATTTTATGCTTCATTTTGCCTGTTACATACATTTGGATTTTGCACAAATACAATATACCCTTATACCCATTTTTAATGGGCTCAGAGTATAAAAACAGTTGTTGGAGATAGGTTGCGAGCTGCCAGCCATCCACACGATTGATTTAAAGGTGCTTCACATCAGGCTCAACGAACAATATGCTGGCTCCACTAAGAAATTAGCTGGAGTGAACACATCTAGATTTGCTGGGTCTTCGGAAAGAGGAAACAATGACATGGAGTTAATTATTGATGATATGTGGCAGATAAAGGTGCGAAGTTCTTCGAAGTTGAGAACACACGAGCGAACAGCGCGATAAAAATTATGCTTTGCTACCTTCACTGCTATTGAACAGGGAGGCCGTCTAAGTGCAAAAAGCGAGGAGGAATAAATTTCCATTTAATGGAGCCAGGTATGCAAACTTATGCAATGAATCAACATGATTGCAACTGATGAAGAGACGCTTGAGGTCCAGAAGCTCATTATTGGCGCCAACAAAGTTACTAGCGTTGTCCGACAATATCTGAAATGGCCTGCCTAGAGTCGAGATAAACCTCTTGAGCACATTTAAGAATAAAGCAGATCTTTGACCAGCTCTAGGTGAACTGATTTAGTCGCGAAGCCGACGAATACAGCCATGTTACATTTGATCCGAGCTTTATTTTGTACTTTTGGCTTATGGACGAATGGTCCGCAATAGCCAACGCCCGAGACTTCAAAGGCTTGACATGCAGTCAAACGTTACTTGGGAATATCAGCCATTATATGCTCTACCAATCTCACACATTCTCCAACCACTTTGGATGTGGATTTCCTTCCTCCAAGCGGCCGAATATGACCCAGAAGAGCCTGTGGACAAGCGTGTTCATCCTGAATGTCAAATCTTGTGATGAATGAATCTGTAATGGGATGGTGCTGTGAAAGAATAATTCAAAATCCAACGAAGTGTTTTCAGGTAACCATCTTTTCTAAGGAGGCTGAGCTAATATAAAAAAGGGTTATGTGTTGCGAAACAGCTGGATGGCTGAAGAACTCTTCTCGATCGCCGTAATTTAAACTCGTCCCACGGGTGTGCTCTCTGAACGAGCCGCAGCAAGAGTTAGGTCCCATGTTGTATATCACACACAGCTAGTCCAGGTTGCCTGATTCTGTGCATGAATTTATAAAAATAGACGAATATACCTTGCATTATATCAAAAGAGATAACGTATTTATAGGTGGCAGATATATCAACGAAGGGAAATGACGCAGCAAGGACCTTTTTTCTTAGTTCGAAATCTGGCCTCTCTGACATGCAAGTAGCAGGCCAGTCCAGTTTCTTTCCATATAGAAAAGTTGAACCGTTTAACCACATTGATGTTTGGTGTAGATCCACTTGAGCTTATATCTGCCAAATTGAGTGGACTGTGAACGTAGCGCCATTCCATGCCATTAGTTAGCTCTTGCACTGCTTTGACAGGATGAGCTACAAACAGATGGAGCTTGCAGTCTTGCTCAGTCTTTATTCAGGATAGACAAAGAAAAGAATCCGACCAGCAGAAAATCTGTCCATGAAAGAGTTCCATTCTAGATATCTCACGCATGCGGTTAGATGATTAGGCGGAGCCACATAGCTCTAGCTTTGGAACTGTCATTGTTTTCAGAGGAGCTTCACGCAATTTGGAACACTACAGCTGACTACTGGTTGTAGGCCGCCGAGAAATGAAGTAGACACCGGCGCTATTTGCTTA